ACAATAATAAAAAGCATATTTTTATTTTAATTATGAGAGGGTTTACAAGAGTAAAAGTTGAGAGAGAGAGAGAGAGAGAGAGAGAGAGAGAACAACAATAATAAAACAATATTTAAGTGAAATTTTGTAATAAATTATAAAGATTTTATGCCTTAAATCGTTTAAAATAAAGTCATAAAAATTATCAATTTATAATATAATTATGAATAAATACATAATCAATAAATTTGTAAAATGTTTTATTGTATTTTGTGCACAAGTGACAAATGTGTTACGCTATGTTATGTTAATGTATAATTGTTTCCAAACTTGAATGCAATACTTCAATAATTGGAGCCACAAATTACCTTTTCATGTATTGGAAAATAGGTTCTTTGCATATTCAAAACCAGTTTATTACTCATTCTCTCTCTCTTTCTCTCTCTCTCTCTCTCTCAACTTTTACTCTTGTAAACCCTCTCATAATTAAAATAAAAATATGCTTTTTATTATTGTTTTTTATTGTGAATTTTATCCTTAATCCCTAATAACATATATCGTTATTATGCAAACTTTAATACCAAATGTATTTGGTATTTGTGTTGAGCAAATAGTTTTGGCTACAAAATAAATGCTATTTACAAACAAATTAATCCATGTTTAAAATGTGTGTTAGTATTGAAATGTAATAAAAGTTATCATTAATAATGCAGTCCTTATCTTATAAGAAAAAATGTGATGATTATATTGATTACAATCATAATATTCATAATAATATTGTTGACGTTAAGCGTATCAATAATTCATTGGCAGTCGATGTAAGAGATGTTGTGTTTGATTATAGAAATAATGTCCCAATACTTGATAGACTCTCCGCACAAATACCAAGAGGTAAAACATGTTCATATACTTTGTCATACCTCTATCGATATTTTACATTAATATAATGCATGAATAATTGAGCTAAAGTTAATTTTGATATTTTAATTTGAAAAATGCTAATATATTTTTAATCTTACCCATCTTGTTTATCAATATATCACTAGAGCAGAAATTATTTGAGAATTGCTCAAAATATGCCAAAATTAGAAATATTTGGGGATATTAAAGTAATATTTTAACTCTATCATAACTCCCAAAACTAACTAAATGTTATTCCTGAGCATTTTATTAACTTTATTCGGGAATTCCCGAAGTATCTCGGCTTTATATATCACTCTATGCTGAAAATCACTATTGGTATTTTCAGTGATAATTGCAAATGTATATGCAGCGTTGGCTTTTATTACTTAATATTTAATAAAAAATTACATACATATAAAAACTGTAAGGAAAGAGTGGTTACAAATACGTATAAAACTGTATATTTTAAAATCTAAATCATAGTCACAAATATTGATAATATTTTTTTTATCTCTAATTATCAGTAATTAATTAATCTTGATCAATTATTTTATATAGGTAAAATATACGCCCTTTTGGGTGCAAATGGAGTTGGAAAGACCACTTTAATTCGGGCTATATTGGGCCGCCTAAAGCTATCGAGCGGTTCAATCTTGGTATTTGGCGTCCGACCGGCCAGTCTTGGTTCCGACATTCCGGGTCCGGGTGTGGGTTATATGCCTCAGGAGTTGGCTCTGTTTGACGAGTTTACTATAGAAGAGATACTTCAATACTACGGACTGTTATATCATATGAAAGGCAGTGATTGTAAGGAAAGGATCGTTGAATTGATACAAGTGTTGAATTTGCCGGAAAAGACGCGACGAATCGATCGCCTAAGTGGTGGACAACAGCGCCGGGTGTCGATTGCTGTAACACTGCTTCACAGACCGAAACTCATTATATTGGATGAGCCGACCGTTGGTGTGGACTCTTTACTCAGGCATAGGATGTGGCAGTATTTGGAGGACTTATGCAAAACATACGGTATAATTAAAAACAATTATTATTATTATTATTTATAACATTAATTATTTATAACATTATTTATAACTTAATTAATTTTAGGCCAAACAGTGATTATAACCACGCATTACATAGAAGAGGCCCGAAGTGCGTCGACTGTGGCGTTCATGAGCTCAGGAACTATATTGAAAGAATCGGATCCCAATTATATTGGATGAGCCGACCGTTGGTGTGGACTCTTTACTCAGGCATAGGATGTGGCAGTATTTGGAGGACTTATGCAAAACATACGGTATAATTAAAAACAATTATTATTATTATTATTTATAACTTAATTAATTTTAGGCCAAACAGTGATTATAACCACGCATTACATAGAAGAGGCCCGAAGTGCGTCGACTGTGGCGTTCATGAGCTCAGGAACTATATTGAAAGAATCGGATCCCAATATATTGATGGCTGAACATCAGTGCAATACACTCGAAGAGGTGTTTCTCCAACTGGTCACTCAAACCAAGTCAATAAATAATAAAAGTTATGATCAAAACACTTGCAACACAACACAACTCTATGATAATAATTGTAATAATGAAAAGTTTATTGACTTAACACGTGTTAGAGCTATGCTATGGAAGTATTATATATTGACGAACCGAAGGCCACTGTTTTTGTTTATGTTTTACATCATACCTATCATCGCCTTAATATCGATGCAACTGACCGTCGGTCAGAGCCCTTACAACATACCCGTTGGCCTTTACAACGGCGATACACAACCCGCTGAACTGTCCCGACAATACATTCGGTCAATCAATGCTCAATATCTGCGTCTGAATGAGTTCCCAAACAGCACCCGTGCCGTACAGTCTGTCCGCGAGGGCCGCAACTTTATGGCCATTGAGTTTAGCGAGAATTTTACCAATGCTTTCAACGCGAGGCTCACAGACATACTGGAGATGAGCGACGATGATCTGGACAACAGTCAAATCAAGCTATACGTCGATATGTCTAATATAGCGCTCGTGTTGTTTGTATTTAAGAATATATTTGAAGCATTTGAACGCTTCTCCCATTCGCTGAGCCATACGGTTGGATACGATCTGTACAAATACATGTCTCCCGTGTCCATCGAGACGCCCATATATGGTCGCGTAGAGTTGGACGTATCTAACCATTTTGCACCCTCAATAATAATTGTGCTAGCTCAGTGTTTGCCAATGGTGCTGTCGGCCCTACAAATTATCTACGACCGCAAAAACACAAGTCTCGAGCGTATGCTAGTGGCCGGTGTGCGCCCGATGGAGTTTTACCTCGCTCACGTCACCCAGAATTCTAGCCTAATTATTATTCACGTGTTTAGCCTGATGTTTATCGCATTCAAAATACTTGGCGTGACGTGTTTAGGCAGTTATGTAAATATTTATTTACTACTAGTATGGCAGGCCCTGTTAGGCATGTCCATTGGGCTCATGGGTGCCCTTATATTGTCCGATGAAGTCTCTGTTGCGGTAACTGTTATACAATGTGTTTATAATTTGTTTTAAATTAAATTATTAATATATTTGAAAGGTTGGTTTATCTGGTCTAATGCTTCCCTTATGGATAATGTCAGGTGTTTTGTGGCCCTTGGAGTCTATACCTACTTACTTCCGGTACATCTCTGATTTAAGCCCAATTACGCTGCCATTGGATGGCTTGCGGTCAATTATGTTCCGGGGCTGGTCATATACTAGACCTACCGTATACTATGGATATATGATTTCAATAATTTACACCTTAATAATATGTGTACTAAATTTGGTTTTATTTCAAAAGTTTTCGGACAAAGCATTTTCTTTGAATATTTGGAATTTTAGTTATAAATAATTATAAATTTTCTGAAATGTTTTCTTACAATTTTCTTTATTGTAAATTAAAAGTGATGAGTTCTTTACACGAGCTTAATTTGAACGGCATAGTAATTAAATACACATTTTAAATTTAGGTTTTATTTGGTTTAGTGATTTAAAAATAATTGTAAATGTTTATGTAAATAAATAATTATTACTCAATTTATGAATTTGTTGCCTCGATGAATTTAAGAAAAACAGCAATTGATATGTAAATTAACTGTAATATAATTATGTATCAATTAAACATGTTTAAAAATTGTTTGCCTTACCTCATATAATCTGAACTCATTTATGATAAATAAATGCCAACAATAATAGCCAATATTTTGTAATCCAACTCTTTCTATGAATGATAACATCTAAAAATAAGGTATGATTTCGATTAATTGATTAAATGGGTTATAAGGTTTCAAGAATTGTATTAATACTAACCTTAACCAAAATAACATTATCATGGTGCTTAATTGATGAATAGCAAACATAGGCGCTATGTAATTTATTATAAGTAGTGTTGGCTTCATTATTAACGAGTACAGCGGGTGTGAGGAGTAATACCAAATAGACCGACATGTAAAATATGGAGATAGAGCCAAATATTTTCATTACAGGATCATCAGAAAAGATCTGCATAGCGTATGTGCCCGTCAATCCTGATAAAACGCCCCAGTTAATAAACAAAAATTTTGACCATCGTTTGTTTGAGTAGTAAATTCGCCGATAGAGTCGTGTAATTCTCCTGATATTATTGACCAAATGATGGCATTTTGAGGACTCGCTCGTCATTAGTAGCAAAATATTTTCGTACTTTAACTGAAGTTTTAAATAATAAGCGCATAAACCGTAGCAAAGATTCTGATAGATGTATATATCGGCGCTGTAAAAGACAAACATCACGTACACTATACTCCAGGCCAGACCGTAGATTGGGATATCGGCCGACAAGTATATTTTGACGTATATGCTAAACGTGGTCATAAAGAATAGTATGGGAAAACATATCTTTACGACATAATACGCGAGTTTAGCAATAATTTTAGGATTTATTAGGCGTTTGTTTTTGTTAAATATGACAGTCTTGACGGACTCTACAAATGGTTGGCGCCGATCTTCGTATAGGTATGACTCGTATTTGTTAATCCAATAATTTAAGGCAAAGAGACTATTAGTGCCGACGATTGTAATGACAAACACAAAATTCCAGTTTTGCTTCAGTTTCCAGTTGTAGGCAATGTCTCCGATAAGTAGAGAAACATTTTGGTCCGAAATGTATAGTGAAAACAATTCTCGTATTAATAGTAAGTTATTAAAGCCTATTATTATGTATGGATTGTACACTAGTTTTACAAAACGATTTCTGGAATAGTTGTCATATTTGAGACCAAACTCATGTGATTCCGGTCTCAATACAGTGAGACACATATCAGTCCACTGTATGGACGCACGGATTCTGTTTAATTCAGCTTGATGATTTTGCTTATACATTGTTTTGCAAATTAAATATTTTTGTTTATTATTTTAAATTTATGTTATAACTTATATAATGTAACTTTATATAACTTGTATATAATTTTATTGTATAAACTTAAATTATCAATTTCTTTGTTAATGAACTGAAAACAACCATTAAAACTATTTTTGAATAGAGATTTCGAAAAAAAATTGTTATAAATGAAGTGTTTGCACGAATAAATTTAATTATAAAATGATAAATTAGATTGTATAGAAGCAAACATATTTAATTTATTATGTTTTTATGATTAAGTATTAGTATACGTGCAAAATAGAAATCAAAATGTTGTGTACTGTATTAACATAAAATCAAATTAAAATAATAAATGTTTGATATATTCATTAATTTATACTTTGTCAATTTATCCTTCTCATAATAAAATATAAAAAATAATATTTTTTGAATAATTAATTGTTAAGTTAAAAACTTAATGTTAAATCACAAATTAATTAATAAAACAATTGATTAATTGTTAATAATTATTGATATACTTATTTTAATACAAAATTAATATCCACTGGAATAAAAATTAGACATTACAACCATTTGTTTATAATATTTTTAAATTATTAGCTGATTTAAACATGTAAGAAATAGTAGAAATAATTAAACATTTTGTTGCAATTTTCCAAACGTGTCATAAAAGCTATAATGAATGCCAACGAAACGATTAAAAAACAGAGGATAAATATAATGGCTTTGCATCCATTCCGACGGATCTTTGATGAGGTTTCGCTCTCAATATCCTTTACATCTGTATATTCAGTGCTCTCGTTGTCAGCACTCGAGCGGTGTTTACAACAGTACACGAACCAAAATAGCATAGAGAGTACGTGAGCCGCACGTGTGCTCCACATCAGGATATTGAGCAGTAGGTACTGACCCGCGCCTATCGGCCACTGCACTGGGAATATGAGGAAATAATCAAAAGCAAAATATGCCAAACATCGGCTTATTTCCAGGGGTGCCGCCCATGATCTACATGCAAATATAGTATAGTAAATAAAATTTTCTTTATTATAATTTTTATCTACAGTGGATGTTAACTCACCTGTTGTCAAATATTGCACCAAATGATGTCAATAAATATACGACATATATGGCTGCGATTAAACCTTTTCCCGGGGAAAAGCGCTAAAAATTAAACATGCATTATTATTAAATTCATTTAATATTGAACAACATGTACTAACGAGATATGGATGTTCTCCCAACATATAAAAGCCCAATACCATAATAATCCCGTGATAAGCCACATATAACTTACGCCAATCAGAAATAAAAGGATTATGACTATACTTTGGTTCAGTGTAGTCAACTTCGGGCACATCATTAATATCTCCGAGTCGTGGTTTACCGGGTGTCCAACCGGGACCCTTAAACAGGGCCGACATCTTATTACAAAATCCATCCATTTTACAAAACTTTTGCCAAACATCTCGATAGTAACCAAAGCTCAAAATTGTTGGATCGTATGTTTTGGGTGTCGGAGACACCACTCCGTAGAGAATCTTCTCCTTCTCTGTCTGATGTGTACCGAAAAGTCGGTCCCAAACCATAATTAACGCGCCGTAATTCTTGTCAATACAATACCGGTTCTTCCCGTGATGTACGCGATGTTGTCGGGGAGTATTGATTATGTACTCCAGGAAACCCAGATTACCCACCACTGAGTTATGCAGCCACATCTGATACAACAGACTCAATTGAACATGCACCATTATGATCTGCGGGGGTATTAGTATTCCAAGTGGTAGAGGAAAGATCTAATATACAATGAAAAGTTCAACAATACTTTAACACTAATTAATTATATGAAATATTTTGATGATATACCGAATATATGAAAAGGTCGACTACAGAGTCGCGTACAGTAGTTGTAATGTTAATATCCTCTGCCATGTGATGGAACTGATGGGCAGCCCATAGAATGTTAAACTCGTGGAGCGCCCGATGGGTCCAATAGTATGTAAACTCAACCACAAGTAGTGAGAATAACCATGTCCATGTAGAATGCAAGGGTAGATCAAGTAGTCGATAATTAGAGTGCACCCAAATAAATATTGCAACCGATGTGGTCAATAAAAATGCTCTATAAATAACAACATTGCAAGTTATTTTTGTTAAAAAAAACTATAAATATTTGTGTTGCAAATAAACTATGGTGTTATGGATAATTACCTCATTAGACCCAATATCATAGCTGTGCCAATATTAATAACATAATCTTCCAGTCGTACTAGATCTTTGCGTTGGCAATACCTGATAATTTGCTCAAGTACAGCTAATGTACCAGTTGCTACTAAAAGCTTTATTGTTTAAAGTATGCAACGTCAATTTTTGAGATTTTAAAACAAATAAGTTTATATCAAGTTATTATTATTTGATTAGATGAAAATACATGATAACGTACCTTAACTTCATATCCGGGCACATCGTATGGGTCTTCATAAGTGCTTTCATTGGGAGATATGATGTAAAATAATGTCAAAAGATCTTTGATTGCCATAACAGTGCTATCTTTAAAGCACTGGCCAAAAGTTGGCTCCGATATATTTGTCCGGATTATTGAATCCATTGACCCAATTGTTTGTGTCTACTATTGAATACAATTGGGATTTAGTGATCTCTTTCTAAATTAATTTTAATAATCATCAATAAATAAGTGCATATTATAATAATCTTAATGCGTTTGTATTTAACCCTCAAAATTAATGCATGGCTTTCTTTGCCAAGAGTTAAAAATGGAATTACTTTTTAAAAAATAATAGTAAATTTTATGGAAAAATATACTTTTATTTCTTTGTATTTTACAAGTATTTAATGCTAATTTTATTCGTATTTTAGAATGTTTTTGACAATAATTAATTCAATATGATAATATTCTTTGGTACTTTAAAAAACTGATTCACATGAAAATTTAATTGACGTCTGAATATTGCATTGATTTTATTGGCTTTTGAGACTTAAGGTAATGTTATATAAACTATTGTGCTTTATCTAAATTAGAATCCATGGTTAGCTTCAAGTTCAGTATTGCCCTCAGGGCGCTAAGAGCCTAAGTCAACAAAAAATGCTCATAAATATGCATGCTAATTATAATAACAATTATTTTTGTTGTTTAAAATAATAGTGATTTAAAAAGTATTTAACCATAATTAAATGTTAACTAATATAATTAATATAACGATTTAGTTTGTATAAGCAATTCTTGTTTTACTATAATTGTTATAGAGATTAGATTATTGTAAACTCAGCAACATTAGTATCTTCAATTTTTATGATTTTTTATTTTTATTATAACAATTATGACAATTCAGTAATTTATCAGCGGTTTATTGCAAGAATAATAAATAAATTCAAATTCTTTCTAATTTAGTTGTTTTGCTGTTATAAATGTTTGTTGTCTGCGGACAGTCATCCGCCGGTTTACTGATCCCCCACTCCTGTAATTCTGAGGTGGAAAACAGTATGTGAACCAATTGTGTGAACACATAAACTGCAATACATGTATAGAAAACATGCGACCAGTTCTCCAATGTTTGCTATAATTGTTAAAATAACAATAATTTAATAAATTATAGTATATTTTACTATAAATACAATGATTACCCCTTTGGAGTAGAACTCGGCGGCAGCAATTGGGGCCACAAAACCCGGAATATTACCGATTGAATTGCAAATACCCATTAGAATTCCCGAGAAATCGGGCGACATATCGACATAGTTTGAGTTAAAGCCCGGGTAACAAAACCCGTTGAGTCCCAATGCAATCACAAACAACACTATACTTAATGTTGTATCGCATTTAGCGAATATTACTCCTAATAGGCATATAGCCGGCCCAAAAAATGCTATTCATAAATGCAAATAATTGTGATTATTATGTTAAATGTTAAATTAAATGTTTGCAAATACCAATTGAATTATTAATTTTCCTTAGATTAGAAACATTGATCATTTCCTTTTCTCTAACCTTATCGCTGATATACGACGATATGATTGAGACGAGTGCTAAACTCAAATAAGGAAGACTTGATATCAAACCATTCTATTGATTAAAGCAATGAAAAAGTCTTGATTCACATCATATCATAATTTGTTATTTTGTTTACTGTTTTAATATCCATGTGAAGAATTTTGGTGAAATAAGTGGGTAATAGAGTTAATATTGTTAGATAACCCCAATTCTGACCAAAATGAGTGATAATCATAGCGTATACTCGATATGATGTGAGAATTGATTTCCATGGAATTCTCCTCCTCTTTGAATTCAATGTTTTAAAAATGATTACAAAAATAATTACATATAATTTATGTAATTGTAATTAAAATGAAATATTTTAAAAATAATAAAATTAAATAAAGATATAATTACAGTCGAAGTCTTTTCAACGCCCTGTCCGTCACATATGTAGTCGTATTCGCGTTGAGAAATAAAGGGATGACTTTCCGGGGAATCAAATACAAAAATAGTCCACAAAACAGACCAAATAATGCCTACAATTCCCAACACATAGAAGATTGCGGGCCAACCGCCTAGAAAAGTCTCGTCGCAGAGATACCCGGTTAGGGGTAGAGTAACCACTGAGCCAATGGCGGCGCCCGCAAAAATCACAGATATTCCTCGGCTTCTCTCCATTTTAGGCATCCATCGGGCGATCATAGCGTTCATACAGGGAAGGATCACTCCCTGTGCTAAGCCCTGTAATATACGGGTTACTAAAAACGGGGCAAAACCCCAGCGCGCGGCCACCGGACCCAACAGGGATAGCACTGAACTGATCAATATACTGCTCCCGAATATCCATTTAGCACCAAATAGCTCGGCCAACGCACCCGCCGGCACTTGTAATACAATATAACCGTAAAAATAACAGCCCAATACAGTGGCCTGTTGGTGATCGTCCCAATCAAAGTCACCCCGAGTATTGGTGTTGCTGTTGTCGATTGTAGTGTCAGGGCCGGGACACTCCAACCCCGTTGAATTGGATGCTGACTCCCGGGTGACCATTGCCACAATAGCCACCCCTAAAAATCCTTTGAAAGCGTAGACCAAGAATAGGCCCATTGCTGTCATCCCAATGAACACATATCTGGCCGGAATGAAAGAAAAACATAATTTCCCCTTTCTATTACTATTTGCATTCATTTTATAATTAATTTGTTAATACAAATATTGGCTCGTTCAAGAAATAATCATAATCTCGTAGTGAGAATTTAAAATTAATTTTTAATTATGAAGCAAACAATTATTTCAAATTATGTAATAGCCGATTGAATTGGCAAATATTGGGCATCAATCGTACAAAGTTTCATTTATTTCCCGATAAAAATGGCGGTTCTATGAGGCAACAAATTGAGTGAAGTCAATTTCACTTACTAGTTTTGTTTTGCAATTTCTATCACCAAAACATGACTGCAGAGAATGATCATAAAAGTCATGTGATAGTGGAATAATAAGAGAATATCGTGGGTATGAGGGAACTTGTCGGCCAAAGCCTTAGAATTTTTTAATATAATTTTTCTAAAAAATAGGGTCTAAAAATAGGCCAAAATCAGGCATATTTTAGACATGTATACAATTACACGCTTTGAAAAATGTCCACTTGGGTTTAAATGGCCACAAATTTTTTTCCAGTATAAGTATAAGTTGATCAACTATTTCATGTGTGAAAATCGCGGATCGTACACAACCCGAACTTTTGGCACGCGATTGTCCACTTCCCGGTGTCGGGCCGTTCGGGTGCGATCTTTAAGGTTATAATCACCTGATTTAATACTTTTTAGCAATTAATTTCATTGGTTGATATCTAATACATCAATTAAGATTGATATATTGTAACTGTGAGTTTATTTATTAGTGCTTTTAACTTAAAACAAAAATAGGTTAAAATTTACAATGTTCTCGGTATCATAACTTTTGGGTGAAATTACCACTTCTTAAAATAATTTTGAAACATTTTTTACATAAAATTAAAGAGGAACAATGACTGCATAAAATAGCGTTTAAATCAATATGATGGCATTTACCAAAAAAATTTGCCAACCATTCTAACCTAAAGTAATTTTAGACTCCGGCCACTTAATGAACGCGCCAATANTAACAAAAACGGAATCGAAACCAAGAATAAGCAAAATATAAGACCAATAGCTTTGTAGCCATTCCTGCGGGCCATCGATGAGGTCTCGCTCTCCACATCCTTCACACCCTTCCCGACGACCGTATATTCAGTGCTCTCGTTGTCAGCACTCGTATCACTCGAGCGGTGTTTACAACAATACACGAACCAAAATAGCATAGAGAGTATGTGAGCCACACGTGTGCTCCACATCAGGGTATCGAGCAGTAGGTACTGACCCGCGCCTATCGGCCATTTCACTGAGTATACAATAAAATAATCAAAAGCAAAATATGCAAAACATCGGCTTATTTCCAGGGGTGCCGCCCATGACCTGTATTTTCATTACAAAATTCAATTTAGATATTATAACATTTGTAAAAATTATATAATTTAAACCTGTTATCAAATATTGCCCCAAAAGATGTCAATACATATACAACATATAGTATTGCAATCATCCCTTTTTCAGGTGAAAACCGCTGTTGTGTTCAAAATATAAAATAACAAATAAATTTAATTTAATAATTAATATTTAATTACTAAATCATTAAATACTAACGATATAAGGATGTTCTCCAAGTAAATAAAAAGCCAATACAACTATTACTGAATGAAAAGCAATGTATATCTTCTTCCAGTCCTCGATATACGGGTCATGACTATACTTGGGTAGAGTGTAGTCAACTTCGGGCACATCATTGATATCTCCGAGTCGTGGTTTACCGGGTGTCCAACCGGGACCCTTAAACAAGGCCGACATCTTATTACAAAAGCCCTCAACTTTACAAAACTTTTGCCAAACGTCTCGATAGTAACCAAACTGTAAAATCATTGAGTCGTATGTTTTGGGTGTCGGAGACACCACTCCGTAGAGAATCTTCTCCTTCTCTGTCTGATGTGTACCGAAAAGTCGGTCCCAAACCATAATTAACGCGCCGTAATTCTTGTCAATACAGTACCGGTTTTTCCCGTGATGTACGCGATGTTGTCGGGGAGTATTGATTATGTACTCCAGGAAACCCAGATTACCCACCACTGAGTTATGCAGCCATACCTGATATATAAGGCTAAACTGAATGTGCACCATAAGGCATGGAGGGGGTACTAATAGGGCAAGTGGCAGCGGAAATATCTAGTTGGAAATTTAAAGTATTATAATATTTATAATTATAAGTGTAAATGATTTCTTACGGCATATATGAATAAATCGACGACAGAGTCGCGGATTGTTGTCGTGATGTTCACATCCTCTGCCATGTGATGGAACTGATGGGCAGCCCATAGGATGTTGAACTCGTGGAGCGCCCGATGGGTCCAGTAATACGTGAATTCTACGACAATCAGTGAGAATATCCAGGTCCATATTGAATGCAGGGGCAAATCAATTATAGCATAATTGGTAAATATCCAAGTGAATGCATAAACCGATGTGGTCAACAAGAATACTCTGTTTATAATTATTAAATTATATTTAAATGTTTTTGTGGATAAATTTGTATATACATATTATATACGTATATTAATTTTGTTAGTATTATAACCTCATCAAGGTAAATAATATGGCGGATCCAGAATTAATGACATAATCTTGAAATCTGGACAAATCTTGTCGTTGAAAATATCGAATCACTTGTTCCAGTATAACAAGAACTGCGACCACAGGAGTTAACTATTCAATCAATTATTAATTTAGTAATAGGATATTTTTTATTATAAATTTTAACAATTAAGTTTTATATAAATACTATACAATTATTGTATTATTAAAATTGTATTGTAATATTAAAAATCTGTAGTTCCTATAGACTATAAATAATAGATTACAATATTTAAACTTTAAAATAATATTTTAACATGAAACTCAATTCATTACTTTAGTTAATCTTTTAAAGCTAGAAATATAGTTTATTTGATATTCATTGTGTTCATGATTTGACTGTTTCTATATTATTGATGATATGATTGATTGATATTATTGTGTAATAAATAAAGAAATCATATAAATTGAGTGAATGTATAGAAACAGAAACTTAGAGGGGATTTAATTGGTTTTAGCAATGCAAATGACATTTCGTTGCCAAACGACTTATTGTGTTGATTGTCAAGGATTTACAGTAAAACTAATATTATTTGAATATCCAGTAAATTTTACTAAATTTCCAAAAGTCCATGAAATTTAAAAAATATAATAATGTAGTATATTTACAAATAGCAAAAATTGACAATTTTTAGTATAATTTTTATTTAATTAAAATAATTATAATTTGTAATTGCCTATTAATTATATGCATTATATTCGTATGAGATTTTAAAAAACATAAAACTTAAAATTATTTAGTTAACTGCATTAGTAGTAGCAGACGCCAACTTGGGTTAACGCCAACTTGGGTTTAACAACGCCAACCGGGGTGTTACCGCCGTTTCGGAATGGTTCGGATCCATTACCAACGGTATCGTTGGTTCCATACGTCACTCCGAATGGTTCCCTAGCCCTATTATTGAGGCAATGCCTTACCAAGCCTAGCCCTTTTATTGAGTACAAGGCTTACCAAGGAAACCCTGTTTTGGGGGTCATTTATAACGTAAACAGTTTGTTAATTAAAAATTTTATTTATTTAAAAAATTGATACAATAATTGAGAATAATTATTCAATAGTATCCCCTTCCTACTCGTCCTCTATGGTGATGACCTCAAGATTATTCTGAGCTACCATCCATTCCTGGTATTCTAGAACAGCCATCAGTAAGAGATCTGTGATTTCTTTAGCGGAATCAATCAAATGATTCAACCGGTTCAATGAGTCCTCATGAATCAGATTATACATAGCTTCGTTAAACTCTTCATCGGCATCAAACATATCCAATTCTATAAGAGAAAGTATGTTAAATAATGGTTACAAAATATATACACTTACCTGGGAATGGACGGTCCAGTGCAAGAACGTTACAGTTAATGCAACGATAGTCCCGGTTACCGAAAAAACACTCGGTTCTCAATCTCATGGTACAGAAGTTGCAGAGTCGTCTGTGATTGCAAGTGTCGTTCGAAACAAGTGGTTCTTGGATAACCAATTGTTTCAAATTGTCGCACAGTTGACAGACTCCGAAAGACATTGCGATTGCAGTATACGAGGGTTTGACTAAATGATTGCTAATAAATTAACACAACAATAATTATAGACGATTTTCTTTTAATAAAATTTATTTATTTGAAAATTAATAATAATAAAAATGATACATTTAATTAAAATAATTTGGAAATTCTGATGAATCTTTATAATACATTGACATTAGTTTAACTTTTTGTTGAGCACAAACACCATCAAGTTTGTGAATGTGTCGATCACAAATGAAATGATTACAATAATAACGGACGAGATTTTTATATGATGGAGTATTCATTTCAACAAATGGTATGTCCAATTCTTGAAGTAATGTGGCCAATTGTGGGTTCTTGATTCCTACGACACTGTTGTCTGATTGACGATATCGTTTCCACAACAATACTAAAAACACATTAAGTTTGTAGTAAGGAATGCTATCTTCTGGAGTATCATATGGAAGTCCTGTATAATTTGTTCTGATGTACTCATTAGTTATCTTATCCTTAGTATCCAGAGAATCCAATTGGAACGGAAGCTTCACATCCCAGCTATTCATATGACCAGAATTAATTCCAATCACAGCCAACTCTCTTGGAACAAATGTTGAATTAGTCCAAAACCCTTGGGCATCGAATATAGCGCAAATTTGAGACATTTTTGCTTTAGTTATTAAGTTTGCGAAATCCTTTTAATAACTTTTGTCAATAAATCACTTATTTCATCATTAATAAATAATTCCTTTTTAAAAAATTTTTGAATTTGAAATAATCCTATATTAAATGATTTTAAAAACACAAATACAATACAAAATTTCCCACAATTTATTGAATTAATTCCTTGAATAATTTGTTGATTATACGTCCAACCATTAGGACAATTTTTGTTTAAAAATGCGATGAATTCTTCTTTTATAGGATATAAGCCATACGAATCGAAATATACTCCAAATTTTTCTTTAGATATATGAACTGCGACCCAATGTTCACCAGTTCCAGTTGATGGATGTGTATTCATGATCAATGAAGAGGGATATGTTTTAATTATTGGTAATTTGTTGAGTGCAAAAGCTCCCAAATAATAATCAACGTTTTTTAGAATTTTATTTATTTGAATTGTATTCATAATTAAAATTGATCAATTGTTACATTTCTTTTTTCATCAATTTCAAGAAGTTTATCGAATTCACAAAACACAAGAACAGTTACTGTTTCATCAATTGGTTTTTCAAAACGAAGAGCTAAACGTAGTGA